TGCCGTCACATGGGATTGCCAGCCATCAAAATTCCAGAGGAGCGTACAATCAACCCCAAGTATTTGAAAGATGATGCTGAACATCCAGACACTCTGATGATTTTACTGGACGTCGTAGGTTGCAATTCATGAATACTATTCACATAGTTGAGAATAGATAACTGTGGGCACTTCGAACCGTCGTTGCACGTTGATTGATTTAAGGTCATGCAAAGCAAAATAGTGATTATAAATGAACCCAAGTGAGTCAACAATGACTTAACGTTCACTACGTCAAGAACGTTAGGGAAAACAATCCATTTTTGAATGATGACCTTTTAAAAGTCGAATCGAGTATTAGTTAGGACACAGCATGTTTTGGCAGAGCTAGAGAAGTTGGCCTTGACCAGACTAGATTCCACTTGCGCTCCTACATTGAATAGCGGAGAAATAAGCCAAACCATTGTTTATCATCTCGGGTCATCGAAAGGAGATGTTGTCGCTCAGACCTCTTTACACCACTTGAACGTCGGTCAATCGGCGTGCATGAGGGCGGGTCAGTTTCTATCGTTTGCTTCGATTTTAGTATGGCGTTTAATTGTGATTCACATAAGCGCCTTAATTAAAAGATGCCAGAATTAGTGATTATAGGAAGTCCACTGAACTGGATTAAAGATTTTGTGAACGATCTCGAAGAGGATGCTACGGCGGATAGCTACTATTCTGAATCGACGTCCGTTAAGTGGAAAGTTCCCTAAATATATATTATGAAACGTCATCAAAAACCAACACCTTACCGCCATATTAATGATATTCGTCCTGTAGCTATGATGCTGAACATCCAGCGGAAATTAGAATAATCACGGTCAACACATCCGACTAAAAAGTCCTATTTTGGACGTATTTGACTCCGCCGGATTAAACTTAAGACAGTACAACAACTGTGCTTCCAGCGTTGAAAGTGTAGATGCCAACGAGACGATGTTTCCTTCCCATGCACATGCTTCCCTTTGAGAAACTAGCTGTTCACCTGAAGAGCATATCAACTATTCCCTTTATTCGGTCGGATGTCCGAAACAATGGATACAAGCATGACTAAAAAAAATCCCAATCTCCTTACGCCACGGTGCCCAAGGAACGAATGAGAATGCATATCTACAATTTGCAAATCTGTACATTTTCGAAATTCTCGCCTGGGAGCCTTGCGTCGTTATCGTATGTAGTCCGATGGCCAGAATTTCCGATTACTCCTGCACGCATGCGAGGAAGTAACTGCAAATCTCCAGATTTCCGAAATTCCAGCCTAAGAGCCTTTGCGTATTTGTAGATCGTCGATCCCTAGAGAATTTCCCAGCACCCTCGCAACACGGTCAGGCATGCTGTTTTGCTAGAGTCACAACATTGGTGTCTTGTCTGAACTGACACGAGTTAATCAGACGCCAGCTATATTGGACCGCATCGTCTAAACTATAGGGAAACATTTGTTGCCCACAGACACCCGTAAAGCAGGCACAACATTGGGGTCGGGCGTGTGTATTCTCCAAAAATCAAAATGATAGGCTTCAATCGAAGTCGTCGGGCATTTGGATTACTGCGCGCTCATAGTTTTAAACGATCAATGCATTGCTGGTTGCAAATCGTAGAGGTCTTTGTAAGTCTAATTGATTTACTTTTCCAAATACACCCCCGAAAAGAAAGGGGAATTACAGACATGGGTAACATTGGCATACACATACGATTACTGCCCCCCATCCGATGATCTATGCTCTGTTGAAATGCATCACAACAGGCAGACGCAAATGTACCCTGTAGTTTTAAGATGTAGCGCAATGTGATTGGCCATTCGCTGGATAATATTCTGATTCTTCCCCTTGCTGCTGTGGGTTCGAATCCCACCGTGGCGCCGAGTTGTTCACTGTTGGGTCAATATGAAACATTTGGACAGTTATTTGCTGACAGATTCGGACAGCTGACAGGTGCGTGGAAAAATAAATTAAGAGCGAGGCTGACACTGTGAGATCCCCTTGAAGGGGCAAAAACACGAACGGTAACTAACATAAATGTAAAAGCACTTTGAGATTTCACGACACGTTTAAAGGTTGTGGCCTATAATATGAGCAACTGACTGGATGATTTGCGCCCCAAGGGAGTTTGTGGAGTGAGCAGAGAACCAAGAGTCAGGCTGCAACGGCATAGCTTAATGTGGCATTTGCAGCGGTAGATGCGCACATTTAAACTAACGCTCTTAGTCTGCTTCAGGTCTCGGTAAGACATATCTATTCTTGACGGTGTTCTGAGATGTGCAGCAAAGATTGTTCCTAAAATCAAATATTTAACTCAGGATCCTCACCCGACCTCTTTCCAACCCCGGCTATAGACAGGACAGTCCAGCTAATTAGATGACTTGGTATTGATGTATACTGCGGACATTTCGTTCGATATATCGGTAAAGTCTAGTATCAGATGATTTCTAGCATAAACAGGAACTGTGTCACGCCAGTCAACGCTCCATAGTAAGTGTGAAGCAGGGACGGTTCCTTGCGCGTGAATTACTTTATAGTAAATGTAGACTTGCACAGCATCTATTGCATTCTCTCCACCTCCTCCACCTGGACACCGCGAGAAGACATAGATATTCGACAGTGGACTCCTTTACTGGTATATTTTGGGCATTTCCTTATCGTGAGTGTGTTTGAGAGACCCCTGGATACCACCGGTTAATTCTTAGCCTGAACATCCAAAACCCCATCTAGTGAGCAATCCAATCGCTACAAACATAGTACTACTGTGATTTCAATAATCATAAGTGAAGAAGTAGAGTCGAGCACAGGAACACTGTGTTTATTGTCCTGAGCTTTCAGACTCGTATATAAGTCCATCGTCAGAGGTAGCGGCAGCAGCAGCAGAACAAGCGACAGTTATAAGACATGCAGGCCAATCATCGACCAACGGCGCAAGACTGGAGGTGACTACGCAGGGCTGTGTACGCCGGCGCCACATCGATAAATCGAGTCTGAAAGCTCAGGACGATAAACGCAGTGTTCCGGTGCTCGACTCTTCTTCTTCACTTATGCATACACCTGGAACTCGAAATTTCGCCTTCATTTCAATAATCATTTTGTTTGAAAAAACGTTGTCCCTCTACTGAACATACTGATTCCTAACGCAGTAAATGCGTTCTTCGTTGTAATTTGGCAAATTCACTCCTTCTAAATGCCCCTGTTCAATGTCATTTTAATGCATTTCACATGCATTTCCACCTGCACTTGAAAATGCAAAGAGGCGGTACGCTGATTTTCCGCGGAAAACGTCCCTGATAAGATATTTGCAACCCCCACCCTTCTCACTCCCTAACTGTCAGTCTATGCAGAAGGCAAATTTATAGCCAAAGCTTACTTTAAAAATACTTATTTTGAAGAAAACGACGCGCCAAAATGATGTAGTTAACATATTGGTGTATGCTTTCTTGACCTTACACCAAGAGACCCCCTGAATACATATGCGAAAATTGTGCCCAACTCATTAAAGGCCGCCTGAAGTAACACTACTTGTCATATTGTCACTATATTCAAAAGCTTCCCACAAACGTGGACTACCCAAACACTTGCGCAGTTTCCCGTTAGGTTCTGGGGTCATCGTTATATCTACTGGAAATAAAAGACACTCCAATTTGGAGCCCGCGTGAAGACATCGACATTCGATAGTGAGCTCCTTTACTGGCATATTTCGGCCTTCCTTTAAAATGAGTATGTCTGCGAGACGTCTGGATACCACCGGTTACTGCTCAGTCTTAACATCCGAAACCCTATCTAGTGGACACTCCAATGGCTACAAACATAGAACTACTGTGATTTCAATAATCATTTTCTTTGAAAAAGCGTTGTCCCTCTACTGAACATACTGATTCATAATGCAGTAAATGCCTTTTTCGCCGTAATTTCGCAAATTCTTGTTCTCTTAACGCTTTTGTTTCCAGTGGTATTGGTGTTGCTGATTACAGGGGATATATTTTTAATGTGGCAGAAAAAACGAGACACAGCTGATCTCCAACTTAAAAAGAGACTGCGCCAATGAAAGGAAAGGACGGATTCTCATTGAAAACGATCATGAGCCACAGATTCGCCACAAGATACATTAAAGTAGCTTGCGCCATGTTGTCGGCACAGCGTCTGCGAAACGAAGAGAAAAACGGACTTCAGAGATAATCAGACATAATGAGTTCATCTCCATCAATGGTAGGCAAACAACCGTTGATCGACTGCGCGTTTCTGACTGTTTTGAAACTCTGAACTTTACAACACCTTTAACGGCTCATAAGTGTTGAACACTCAAACTGCAAGAAAAACTTTATGCCTGGAATCTTGTTGAAATTAAAAGCAACCCTCAACCGGGCACTGTCATTCAAATAATTGTGAATCCAACACCTGGAAGTCCTTCTACGTGAACTTAAATGCATGCATGAAGTCGATGAATGTTGACACTGGAGCCGTGGCCTCCTTTTCATTGGAAGGATTTATGGTGACACGAGTAATCCTGCCAGTTATAAACTTTATCTCCATTTGTCGCGTTTCGGTTCCCAAATGTCCCGTAAATAGTACAAGTTCCTTTCTCTCCACTGAAAGTACACATGCATGTAAAAACTGTTTTATGTGGAAAACTGTTTTCCAAAGTGTTTTGCAAGAATCATTTCCATTGACATGACCTTAATGAAATCTTTGGCAACACCGAATAATGCACTTACCGAACAACCCGAGAACTGATAAAATACTGTCGTTTCTTTTGTCTACCGAAATGTCCCCCGCGCGGTATATGGTCTGAAAGGTTACGAACATGAAATGGTGCCGGAGTCGTTATTCTACTCGCCTAGAAGCTTACTGCTGGGGACATTCAAATAGATTAATGCCAAAATCACTTCAAAAATAAACCAAAATCAGTTTGACTGAACAAAACCAATTGCATCTACTTAACATGGAAGAAATAAAGGTACAGATAATCTTTTTATTAATGATGCTTTTTGTTCAGTTCCAAATAATATATAAAATGGCGCATGCTAGTGCGTCAATTTAATAGGTTCCTCAGACTAATTCAAATTAATAATGCCATGCTTTTCCCTACACGCTAACGGTTCTCATGTAAGGCCCTTAGAAGCACAATGTTGACCTCGTAGTTGGAATTATAAAATTAGTTTCCGATGATTACCGAAAGTTTTCCATTGAACAGCAGAATATGAATGAGTCTTTCATTTTTGAGGATTTCGTTCGAGAAGATAGATACTACTCCAGAAGGCAGCGGTATATCTAAAGGAGAAATCATTAAATGCGGTATTTTTGAAACGCAATTTCTAAAGCTGCTTAAACTACAAGAGGCCAGCGGATTTTTTGCCTTAACTCAAAATACATTCCAGCAGATCGATAGGCAACACACATAATCACCGTTAGGATGCATATTTCTGCCTATTGTACTCTTTTTGTTTTTATGAGTTAAGTAAGTGACTTCACTAATGCCTGCCACGAAGATTAAGGGACATAAACACATTTATGACACAATGTTAATGTAAATTGACTGAAACGGTTACTTTGACTTACACTCCGATATGCCGGCACTTTTGTACTGTACTCCAACAGAGCATCTGCCAACAGGATCCTTCGGCTCCAACACGAATGCTGCCCGATATTCCTCCAGGAAACCATTAACGATCATGTACTGTCTGGCTTTTGAAGGAAAGATTTATTTGTAAATTAGGGACAGAGATGAGTGTGAAACACACTAAAGTCTATGTAAATCTAATCCTGGCTACCTCATTTTAACACTTACCAGCATACTTTTGCCGTAAATATGAGGTAAATAATCCATAATTATAATTGCGTCTGTTTTCCCTAGTACAATGCATTTTTCTTTGAATATCTGGGACATCATTGTTAAAGAGCGGAAGACATATTAGACTGGAAATTGTCTCACCATTATTAAGTATTTGCCTTTGTCAGTATCACCTCACTCGCACATTCATTGAGTGATAGATTACATGAAATGTTGTCTGAAAGCCTGAAATGCGTTTTCGATTTTTTTAAGCGCGGTTAAAATGCTGATTATCCTTCTGCATAATGACATAATATGTTGGACTCAGCGGGATGTAAGCTTTTGATTATTCTGCTTCCCAATCTTCTGCAACAACCGAGCATAGTAAAAAAAATGACTAATGATGTAATATACATTTCTCTTAGTTGTTTTCGATGATCTTGCAAATTCAATAATATTTTATTCAAAGCATGAGCAAAAAAGGCTGCATCTTAGTTTCTTGATAGCGGATTACTTCCTCTTTATATTTTATGCTCAAACAGTGAGTATAATTAGGTTTTAGAAAAGTTTTATCATTGTCGAATGATTTGGAGCCTGATTAGTCGTTTTATGAGCGCATAATGATTTCAGTTCACAAGGTTTATGCGTTCCGTGTAAAGAAAATCACACATTCTTCTGTGCTTTCAAAAAGATAATATAGGGAGTCCATAACATTTTGCAATGAATGCGGACTACGTTGTACATTTTAAGAGCAGCTGTTGTAAACGGACAGGTAGGATGGTATATGAATGATCATTGCGCGGTCTCAATAAATCTCATCATTAGAAACGGTCACCGTTATTAAACATTCGTCTTTGTCGGCATCATCCTACTAGCACACATAGTACCATTCGCTGAGCGACTGCGTTCGGGGGTCCCAGTTTGAGCACTAAGGCACATGGGAACGAGCACATTTCGTAAAACGTTCGGCGAAGCTCCCAACTGCCATAAATTATATGCGCCATTACAACCGACAGGACAAAGTGTCCGTGGCTCAATGGTGGAATGTCAAACTCCATGACCAAAGATCCCAGGTTCGAATCTCCAATGATCCACACTTGACGTTGGGTATAACTGGCTGATGACGGCCAATACGACAGAAACGGTCATTCGGGTCTCCCTTTTATTTGTTGCTATGACCCCACTTGCAGGTGTTCTAACTCGTGAAGTGTTGTGGCGTAAATGTGAGTGTGAAGTATGTTATAGGTTTGGTCTAGATATCTGTGTTCATTGAATTCATTTGAGGCGATTTCTAATAAAGACATTTTCTGAAATTCGAGTTTTCAGGGAGAATAAACAGTTTTTACGCTAGTAAATATTTATTTACAAGTCAACTTATTTCTTCTTTCTCCATTGTTGCCAGTACTATCTTCCACATAAGTGCGCATGCAACAAGCGCTCAAAGGCCCCTGAGAATTTCACGTCTGATAAAAAACCTATTTGCATGCATCTATCAGAAAAACGAACTGCTTGTGTACCTGACTACTGTTAAGTGTGCGACGTCTTTGTCTTAACTAAATGGGTTTTTAAGGAACGAAATTCCAAATGAATATCTTACGTCGGATAATTTCCCAGCAGTCATTCGGCCCGATACAGTGCGAGCCATTTGTAGCCTCTGAAATGCGCACGTCGTCAACGGTCATGTACTATGTGAAGGAAAGATTTTGTTACCTCAATGAAAGGGGAAACTCATCGCATCGCACAGCAGGCAACGATTACCTCAACGCCCCCATAGAGGCTTTTCGTATAAACATAATCGCTGTTCTGTTTAAATTCCAAGGTGGTCGTGTCCTCTGTAAAGGAAACGGCAAAGTGCAACTTTTGGCGTGCAAAATTTTTCCATTCAACTTTGTATTAAAAATATGACAGAAAGCAAAACTGTAGGTTTTGGGAATAGAATTTTCAAATAAATTCACCCTGTCCGCAGACGCCATAAGCTATTGCCAGTGAAAGGATCTGCACGAACATTTCCATAGGTCTACGCGCGCAGGCCACGTAGACGTGCTCTTTATATACGACGCTTGTGCCAATAAACATGCATAGGGCAATCCCACCTTACCTCCCCCCATTGGCAATTGCAAATGCGACCCTTCTATGGAAAACATATGACGTACGAGCTCACCAATATCAATGTGCTCTTTCAAATATTGCATATACTTATTTTAGGAAAACTTTTACCCCTTATCGAGTAAAAATCCCTTGAGCCCTCCTTTAATTACAGAAGCTCGCTTTCCCCAGCTGAACCAGTGGCAACAGCGTAGACAATCACACTTACATAACAAAATCAGCGGTTCTAAATTTCACGTCAAATGACACATGCTTTGTGTCAGCTGATGCCATTCCGTGCGTTTCCAAAATTGCTTAATTACCAGTCAGATAATAAGGTCACAATTTCAAAGGAGGTTAAGGTTGCATTACGATTCCTTTTCCGAGACTAAGATGTCTTTTCAGAATAAACTGCAGTCGGCTAGCAGGCCTCCCAATCCATGCCGATCATTGGCGTTAGGGTTTGTTGAAACTTACCAATAGGTAAATTAATTGGAATATTATCGTTTAAGGTCTTGAACGTAGAGGCGTCGTTCTGAATAGTAGTTAATTGCGTACTGGTGCCATCGACGACATGGGGCTTCAGAATCTGCTCTCTCTCTCTGAATCAGACGTGTATCAGAGATGGGAGTGTAGGCAAATGTTAAATTTTCTCAATCGAAGATAATGACGCCAACCTCGGCCGACTGGATGAACAGGTATTCGCGGCTTGAAAGGCTGTCAACCGGGTAACTATTATTATTCATCTTCAAGACCAAAATGCCTTCGTATTACTAACTGGTGTCATCCTGCAGCCCTCACATAATTTGATGATCAACAATGGATAAATTTGTCTGTATTTTATCGGTTAACGTCTTGGTGTTAGGGACATCGTGTTGCGCGATCGCATCGACGAGATGAGGACAGGGCATGGACCAGTAATGGTTATTACTATTCCCAATGGTCTAGCATTCATCGCGCCAACATCCAACACCCATGACGGAAATGCAGCGATTAACTTATCAGATGTCGGCAATCGAACAAGTATCACACTCAGTGCACCAATGCCTGATAAATCAGGCGTTGCATTAATTGGTTCTCGGAAACCCTGTGGCTTAAATGTTGGCAAAAGTCCTTTCTATGTCCTATTTTGATAAAACATGTCCGCTCTCTTTGCCCGAACTAATGGCGACAGCATTAGTATTCAAACCACCGAGTCAAACATTAACGTCAAGTAACACATACTTCATGTCAGCTTACGTCATATTGAGTGTTCTCTAAATTTTCTAAGATACAGACAAAGTATTAATTGAAGCGTTCAACGAGCAGTAAGCAGAGATTGTGATTCCTCCGCGG